CATACAGCTGATCTTTTGTCCAATTGTGGATTGATGGAGTAATGCTTTCCTTCCATTGTTATTCACAGCCACAATGTTCTGGGAAGTGACATTTTTTATTACAACTCCTAGTATCCCCCAGCCAGTGTGGTTAGTTTTACTGCTACCTGAAAGTTCTTGCACCTGTGGGCCGAAGAAGAAACTTCTTTAAGCTTCATGTTTTCTTGATAGACCTGATAACATTTTATATTTCTGCTACACAGTTCAGTTGTGGTCATTTTAAGAGATTTCTAGAAGTGCTGATGTTCATGACAGTTTTCTAACTTTCTTGAGTGGTATCATCTGCATATCTGAGATTGTTGATATTTCTTCTGGCAATCTTAATTCCGGCTTGGGATTGCTCCAGTCCAGCCTTCTGCATGATGTATTCTGCATATCAGTTAAATAAGCCGGGGGACAATATACAGCCTTGTCGTACTCCTTTCCCAATTTTGAACCGATCAGTTGTTCCATATCCAGTTCTAACTGTTGCTTCCTGTCCTACATATAGGTTTCTCAGGAGATAGACAAGGTGGTCAGGCACTCCCATTTATTTAAGGACTTGCCATAGTTTGCTGCGGTCCACACAGTCAAAGGCTTTTGCATAATCAATGAAGCAGAAGTAGATGTTTTTCTGGAACTCTTTGGCTTTCTCCATAATCCAGCGCATGTTACCAATTTGGTCTCGAGTTCCTCTGCCCCTTCGGAATCCAGCTTGTACTTCTGGGAGTTCTCGGTCCACATACTGCTGAAGACTACCTTGTAGGATTTTGAGCATAACCTTGAGCATAACAAGATATATTGTACAGTAGTTGTATTTGCATAATAGTTTAGTTTTAAAGAGCTCTTGTGTCTCTGCATGATGAGCTACCTTGGAAAAAGAGCCATTTATGTAAAGTGTGTTAGCTGCCTTGAAAGCAGCCAAAGAATAGTACCGGTAGTAGTTAAGGAGAGGAAATAGAATTGCTGCAAGGTCTATCTGATTACTGGCAAGCAAGTGCTTCTAATTTTATAGGTAGCAGATACTTCCCCTGGGTAGTGTTTAATTCACAAAAGCCAAAAAAGGGGGTGGGATGTGCTTGAGTGTTCTTGGCGGATTCCTATTGGTGTTTGTGTAAGGTTTGTGTAACTTTCCATGGCCACTTGTGTCTAATTGACAAGTGATGGGGTTTATCATGGTTGTTCAGTCAGGTGTGTAATCAGGAATGTGATTGGACAGTTTGTCATGGCTAGCTGTGCAGATCTTACACATATGCCAGTGAGGAATCTTATTTCTATGTGTGCTGTGTTGCTATATGTTTCAGTATTTTTCTTATTCAATACCTACTAGCTATTGCTGGCTACTGCTTTTAAAAGCAGTTAATTGAGAACAGCCATCTGTGCTTTGTTGTTGTTGTGAGAAAGGCCATACCTCACTCCACACTACATAGTTAATTAGCACAAAATGGTTTCAGCTGAAGAGAAAGGAGGAGTGAGTTACTCTCAAGTTATACTCAAGTTACTCTTGAGAAGTTATTTTCTTCTTTTGAGAAGGTACAGGTCAGTCATTTCTCATATAAACAGGCCAGGAGAGGGAAGACACATTTGACTCTCCTGGAACTAGGACTAGGAAAATCACCAGGAAAATCTGGGCAGTGTGTGTCGCTCATGTGGGCTTCTCTGACCCAGCCTAATCTTGACACAAATGCTACAAAAATCATAGCCACATGTGCAGGCCAGGCTTCTCTGCTTAAATAATCTTAAATATTCTTTCAAAATGGGAGCTACAGTCTCAAGTCAGAGATATAGATTTCCGGTTCCATCTTAGGTGGTGTCAATTGGAATGTCTATCCCAATCCTCTTAGCAAAAAGGCTGCCAGTAATTCAGCCTCTTGACACCCCCCCTTCTTGCCCAATTTTGAAGCACATGGTTGAAAATCAGAATTGATAGTGTCCATGTGTGGCAGAAGCTCTTTTGTTCTAACTTTTCAATGCCCACATGTTCAGAGCAGTAGAACCCATTATAGAGGGAGGCAGGGCTGGCTTCTTCCATCTGTGTGTGTTCAGTATTTACAATACAGTGGTGCCTCGCATTACAACGTTAATTTGCTCCAGCAAAATCACTGTAGAACAAAAACGTCGTAATGCAAAAAGAAAAAACCCATTGAAACGTATTAAAACCCGTTTAATGCGTTCCAAAGGGCTGTAAACTCACCGTCCAGCGAAGATCCTCCACAGGGTGGCCATTTTTACTTCCTGTGCAGTGAGGAATCCGTCCCAGAAAACAGCAGGGGGGCATTTTGTTTACCCGGTGGCCGTTTTGAAACCACCAATCAGCTGTTGGAAAATCATCGTTTTGCGAAGAATCAGTTCCCGAAGCAGGGAACTGATCATCACAAAGTGAAATTCCCCCATAGGAAACATTGTTTTGCGATCACAAAAGCGATCTAAAAAAGTTTATTGTAATGCGGTTTCATCATTAAACGGGGCAATCGTAAAGCGAGGCACCACTGTATTACTGCTGGGATAGAACTGCTTTCGAATGATATTAAGTTTAATTCCATGTCTGGGTTTGATTTTATGACTCCAGTGGACTTGCAGCCTTGCAGAGATTTTGTGCAGGTAAAAAAAAATAAAAGGATTTCACCTTCACCAAGTGCCCACTTTAGGTTCCAGAAAATCACAAGCAACAAATTGTGGCATTCCCATCAAATGGTCCCATCATCTGCTGGGAGGAAGGCAGCTAACATAAGCAAGAAGTAAAGATAGGTGGCCCCTGATCAGTGATAATTTTATTTATTTTGGTCTTGGTATGCAGCTTGATGTCATTTTATAAATATCAAATTACGGCCTTAGAATACAGCTCTTTAGTTTGTGGGGAAAGTTAATAAGGAAGAAAAGTTTATTTAAATTTATATTGCTAAAGATACTGAAGAAAAATTTACGGTATGTGTGCTTCTAAATTTTGACTCTTTGTTAATTAGGTAGGTAGGAGGATATTGAGTAGATATCATTAATGTGATTTTTTACAGAGATTTCCTTTAATTTTGCTCAGAAACTATGACTTTCTGAACAAAATAATTTGGAAAGCAATCTGTTGAAGATGTGCAGGGAATACTTATATTTTCTTACTTTGAGAAAACATGCTGGATGCCTTAATTCTGAAAGGCAATTTGTGAATGATTTTAAAATAGACTATATTGCCTGCAATATATGGCGATGTAGGGAAGTGAGAGCTGGACCATAAAGAAGACTGACTGCCAAAGAACTGATGCTTTTGAATTGTGGTGCAGGAGGAGGCTCTTGAGAGTCCCCTGGACTGCGAGGAGATCAAATGTATCCATGCTGAAGGAAATCAAACCTGAGTGCTCACTGGAAGGACAGATCCTGAAGCTGAGGCTCCAATACTTTGGTCATCTCATGAGACGAGAAGACTCCCTGGAAAAGACCTTGATGTTGGGAAAGTGTGAAGGCAAGAGGAGAAGGGGACTATAGAGGACAAGATGGTTGGACAGTGTCTCCGAAGCTACCAACATGAATTTGACCAATCTCCGGAAGGTGGTGGAGGACAGGAGGTCCTGGCGTGCTCTGGTCCATGGGGTCACAAAGGGTTGGGGACGACTAAACAACAACAAAATATTGCCTGCAAGAGATTACAAGTGTTATATTCCAGTTAGCATGGATTTGTGATCTACTTAATCAGTCCCTAAGGACTCTTAAGAGATCCAGCATTTTGCAGTCTCAGAAAGAATCATGTTAAAATAACAGAGCTGAGGATTTTTTTTAAAGACAGTTTTAGATATTTTACATATAGTATATTATATAGTATAATCATTATATAGTATAATCTATATAATCATTATATAGTATAATCATTTCCACAATTAAAATTTGAAAAATATGTAAAAACATTATACAGTTGTATTGTATAAACAGATTGCAGAGATTACTGAGTAAATAATACAGTGAGGGAAGCCCAGTAGTGAAGCTTATTCCACATAAGACTGAAAATGTCATCAACAATTGCTGATTTTTGGAAATAAGGTTTTCCTGTCCCCCCCACACACACACAAAGGTCCTGAGGCTCTCTTGAGATCCCTTTTATACCAGTCCATCAGATATAAAGGCCCTCCCAGTACTCACTGCTGATACTTATTGCTCTCAGCAGTTATTAGGACACCCCTTCATCTTAAGTTGGGCACACAGTTTTAGTTTTCACAAAGCATATAGACAAATTAGAACAGGTCCAGAAGAGCGCTATAAAAATTGCTGGAGCCGAGAAAATACAGTACAGTGGGGTCTTGACTTAAGAACGGCTTGAGTTAAGAACATTTTGACTTAAGAACCGCTCTCATAGGAAAATATTGACTTCACTTAAGTACTTAGATTTGAGTTAAGAACTGAAAAAAAAACACGTGGGAGGCAGGGAAAGTGCAAAATTTGAACTTTCAGTTAACTGTTGGCCAGTGAAAAGGGTGCCTGTCTGCTTCCTCATTCCTCCCAGCATTTAGAGAGTGAATTGGGAGACAGTCTTCAGACTGCCTGGTACTGTACTGCCTGGACTGTATTTTCCCTGCCTTCCCTGACCCTTTCTCGACCTAAGAAAAAAAGAAACAAAATATCCCCCTCTAATGGTCGAAGGCGGAATAGCAGCTTCCCATTAGTTTCTATAGACGGAAAAGAGCAGATACGGATCAAATGGTTTTCAATGCATTCCTATGGGAAATGCAGATTTGACCTGAGAACTTTTTGACTTGAGAACCGCCTTCCAATACGGATTAAGTTCTCAAGTCAAGACCCCACTGAAACACTGAAGAAATTGGGAATATGTAGCCTGGGGAACAGAAGTCTTTGAAAGAATTTAATTTTTAAACATTGCTTTCTGTAACACAGACCTATTATATAAATTGATGTTTTATTCTGCCTACAGAAGATGTAACTACGGTAGTTTTTATTCCCATTTCTTGTAGTTGTTTTAATATGATTCAGTTGTATTCCCACAGCTTGAAGTAAGAGGAGAAATCATAGAACCACAGAAAACCAGGCCTGGACTGCAGCCAGTCCATTGCCCTGGTAATGCAGGAAATCTCCTCCTAAAGCACCGCTGACAGCTGCCATCCAATCTCTGTTTGAAATCCACCAATGCTGGGAGAATTCATTACACTCCAAGGCAGTCCTTCCATTGTCAACTAGCTCTCTCTGTTAGAAAGCTTTCCTAATATTGAGTCAAAATCTCCTTTCTTACAATTTAGATCCACTTGATTTGGTCCCCATTCCTCTGGAGCTATAGAAAGCAAGCTCACTCCATTCAAATATTTGAGGGTAGTTACCATATCACAACTCTTTTCTCTTTCCGTATTATGTATGTCCAACTCCCTCAACCACTCTTTGTTAGATGCGGTTTCCAAACCTTTATCATCCAGTTGCCCCCCCTTGAACACATTCCAACTTTCTGATATTTTTCTTAAACTCTTTCCAGAATGTGACATTTCAGGTGAGCAACTATTTTTCCTATCTGTAAGATGGCTGTATTTTTACAAAAGGCTTTAAAAGTTTTTTTTGGAGGGGGGGTGAATATAGAATATAGAAGCCATGTAGATTATAAATTTGTAGAACTAGATAGGCTTATGTTGCCTGGAATATTGCAACAATGAAAAGACTTATACCTTGATACTCAGATGAATTTTGATATTATTGGAAATGATTGACTGGTTTCATTCTGGAATTAACCCTTAATTGGGATAAATGCTAGGTGTTATGAACACAGGCTTCTGATTTTTCTGTAAAGTTCTGTAGGGATCTTAGGGGCATGTTCAGGCACCAGAATCCATTATCTGACAGCCAAGCCACCTGTCTCCCATCCTACATTCATGCACCTGATTTTTCCTGCCTAAAAGTACATTTTCCATGTTGAAACTCGTTTTGTTTGCTTTGGTGTAGTTCTCCAGTCTGTTAAGTTCTTCCTAAACCTGAGTATTTAGTCTTATTTCCAGATTTAATGAGCATCCCTCGTCCAAATCATTTATGAAAACGTTGAACAACACCGGGCTTAGGATGAAACCCAGTGGCATTGCACTAGTCACATCTCTCCAGAATGATGAGGAACCATTGGCAAGCTCTCTTTGGGTATTGTTTGCCAGCCAGCTAAAAATCAACTTCAGCTATATTCCAGTCTCTCTTAGTGGCACAATTCTTTTACTCTCAATTGACAGGTGAAGCTTTGATAGTTGTGCCAGAATTGAATTGTGCAAGGGTAGCTAGCCCATACTTCATTCAAAGAAAAAGAGGTAAAATTATTTTTAAAAATAAATACGTACTAGTGAGGTTATAGTATTAGGTAGCAGTTTACATTAGTTTTTTTAATTTATTTATTTCTAAAGAATGAAAAGACAATCGACCATATTACAAATATTAAATACAAAACTATTCCCCACATTTCTCCAAATCACATATATACCTTTCTCCATCACCTTTTAAAGAAATATTGACCAACGATTTAAGTGTCTTTTCAAACCACATGTCTCAAAGTCTATTTTGTCGGCATATTTTAATAATGGCTTCCAATTTTCCATGAATTTACTATGGCTTATTTCTCCTCTATGTACTCTAACTTTATTAGTCATTTTTTCCATCAGCAATGTATGCCATATTTTACTTATGAATGCTTGCAGTGAGAGATCTTGGGCCTTTTTCCAATTTTTAGCTATTTCGGATCTTGTGGTGCCTATAAGATTTGCAACTAATTCTTTATATTGTAATTTCTCATTTCCCCCTGTGAATAATGAAAATAACAATAATGTTTCATTAATCTCTATTTTTTGATTAGTCAGTGTTTCTATCCAATTTAATTACCTCCAGCCAAAAAGTTCTATTTTGGGGCAAGATATGTTCCAGAGTTCCCTTTTGTCTGCAGTGTTTCCAGCATTTATCAGATATATCTTGATTTAATTCTATGTAGTGTTGTAGGGCATAGATGCCATTGATGCACTACCTTTAGAAGCATTTCTTTTGCACTTGCTGAAATAGATTTATATGGATATTTTTTCCAGATTCCTGTCCAAATTTCTTCATGTATATTAATATTTAAATTTGTTTCCCACACTGTTTTAGATCCTCCAACTTTTCCCTATTCTTTCTCAATAATGCTTTTATATATTAGTGAGGTTAGTCCTCTCTTTTTATTTTTATCTTTTTGTATACAGTATTATTCAAATTCAGTTAAACCGCCTAGAGTGGTCTATCGACTAGATAGGCGGGATATAAATAAAATAAATAAATACATAAATAAATTCTTAGAAGGCCAGTTTTTTGTTGTGAGTAGCGAAACTTCTTATTTGTTTTCTTGGTAGCCAATTGCTTTTTATTTGCTTTGTTTTCTCTTCTATTTGCCTGATAGTAAGTGGTTCCCCTGAGTCGAATAAGTCATTAATTCTATATATTCCAATTTGCTTCCATTACTTAAATTGTGCATATTTCTCTTTAGACTTAAAATCTGGGTGATCCATGAGGGGACATAAAGGGGATACTGGGGAGCCCTATGTTTTCTCCATATCCTTAATGTTTCAGAAATGAATGGATTCTGTATTTGTTCTCCATTTCCATTTTTTTGTAGTATTATTATACTTGTTTACTATGTCCGTTTTCATTTCACTTTCCATTTTGACCCAATCAGAATTTTTACAAGTCTCGTCAATTTGTATAAGTTTAATAATTTGGTTTATTTGCAAGGCTTCATAATATTTTTGGAGCTGTGGTATCCCTAATCCCCCCTTTTGACCCTGTCTATATTTGACACTATTTATAAATCTTATCTTCTTTCCTTTTCCTGCAATAAAATTTTCTAGCTTTCCTTGCCATAGTTTTAA